ACAAGGAAATATCACGCCAGAAAGGACCCAAGGCGCTAGTGCAAAAGGGGAAATGGACACTAGCTTAGGAAATAGCCCTAGATTATCAATGGGTATGAATAGCAGCTGCAGCCAACAAATAGCAGATGGCTTGGAAAAAAAAGAACCTGACGGTGAACTACAAGTACCAAATAAGAAGGAGATGATAGAAATGTTCCAAAGTCTGGAGAAAATAATAAAACACGAAATGACAGCTATTCGGAATGATTTAGGGCACCTGTTATTGAGAGTGGAAGAAACAGAGGAGAAAGTTAAAAACCATGCCCAAACCATAGATAATCTAGGGAAAAAAACAACCTACTTGGAGAATACTCTGAAAAAATTGCTCTATAGGATGGAAGTTCAAGAAAATAAAGAAAGAAGGTGTAACCTTAGAGTACGAGGAATTCCAGAGTCTGCGAAAGGGGAAACACTGTATGAACTAGTTATTAAAATTTTAAACTCCATAGAGACAGACCTGAAACAGACGGAATCAAACTGGATGGAGTGTTTAGAATAGGAAAGTTTAAACAAGCTACTGAGAAGGAAAGACCGAGAGATACAGTTGTCCAGTTCCAAAAATTTTGGGTTAAAGATGAGATATGGAGGAAGATTAAAGGAAGATCATTAATTAAGTATGGAGAATTAACTATCCAAATTTATGCGGACTTAACACCAGAAACCCTATGGAGAAGGAGATCCCTGAGACCCTTGTTGGAGCAAATGAGAAAACAGAACGTGCAGTATAGATGGGGTACTCCAGCTTGTCTAATTGGCAGGAAAAAAATGGGGTTACAGCCTATTTGAGATTCCCGGAGGAACTGAGGGATTTTGCGACAGACTGATTTGCAAAGAATGGAGATAGCGGGGTGGGAAGAAGAAAAGGGAGATACAGAAGATACAAGAAAAGAGGACTGGCAGCGGGGTCGGGGGGAGAGGGAGGGGGGGCCCGGGGGTGGGGAGAGAAAGGAGGGAGAATGAAGTAAAAATTTGGTGTTTTTTTTCTTTTTTTGTCTTCTTCCTCTCTCACCCCCCCCTGGCCCTCACCTCGGTCGAAGTGGTAGTCGCTCTGGAGCTCCAGCTGAGGGGGGAAGTAAAGATTTTTTCTGAGTCCAATTGATAGAGAGAGGGGATCTGGGGAGGTCGGAGAAGAGGCTAGCCGTTCATGGGCGGAGCTTATGCCCAAAGTTTCAAATCAATGGTGGGAATAGAGCCACAAATGATTTGTAGGCAGTTTTCAAGCCTAGAAACGGGAAGGGAAAAAAAAAAAGAAAGGGGGATGGGGGGGCGGGAGATGAGGGTTGGGTTGGAGGGAGGGGAGGGGCCGCTGGGCTAATACTCTGCATGATAGTAGGAACGAAGAGGAGGAGGCAATTGGAAGAGAGATAGAGCCAATTAAGAAGGATGGAAGAAATATAGTTTATAACTTATAATGTGAATGGGTTGAATAGTCCTGGGAAAAGATTTAAGTTGTTTAACCACTTGCCTACCAGGCACTTATACCCCCTTCCTTACCAAGCCAATTTTCAGCTTTCAGCGCTGCCGCACTTTGATTGACAATTGCGCGGTCATGCAACATTGTACCCATATGAAATTTTGATCATTTTTTTCTCACAAATAGAGCTTTCTTTTGGTGGTATTTAATCACCACTGGGCGCTTTACTTTTTGCGCTATAAATTAAAAAAGTGCAAAAAATTTGAAAAAAAAAAAAAAAGTTTATTTGTTTCTTTTATAAAATTTTTCAAACAGGTATTTTTTCTCCTTCACTGATTTGCGTTGATGAGGCGGCACTGATTGGCACTGATAGGCAGCACTGATGGGCACTGATAGGCAGCACTAAAGGGCACTGATAGGCAGTACTAATGAGGTGGCACGGATAGGCGGCACTGATAGACAGCACTAATTAGGGGTCACGGATAGGCAGCACTGATATGCAGCACTGATAGGCGGCACTGATAGGTGACACTGATGATGGGTACTGATAGACGGCACTGACTGGCATCACTTCTGGGCACTGACTGGCGGCACTGACTGGCACAACCCCTGGGCACTGACTGGTGGCACTGACTGGCAGCACTGCTGGGCTGCACTGGTGGGTGGCACTGGTGGGCAGCACTGGTGGGTGGGCACAGGTGGGTGGCACTGGTGGGCACAGGTGGGTGGCGTGGGTGGGCACAGGTGGGTGGCACTGCTGGGCACATGTAGGTGGCACTTCTGGGCACAGGTAGGTGGCACTGCAGAGTGGCACAGGTGGGTGCACTGCTGGGCACAGGTGGGGGCACTGCGGGGCACAGGTGGGGGCACTGCTGGGAACGGGTGGGCGGGGCTAGTGGGCGCACTGCTGGGCGGAACTTGCGGGTGTCACTGCTGGGCACCGATCATCAGGGCACTGATCATCAGTGCCCTGATGATCGGTGCCGATCCCCGCTCTGATAACTGCCGGTTCTCGGCAGTACTTTCCTCACGATCTGACAGCGTGAGGAAAGGACAGCCGAGAACCGGCACTTGCCTTTCCCTGTGATCAGCGTGTCATTGGACACCACTGATCACGTGGTAAAAGGCCGGTGGGATCGGCCTTTCACCACATCACGTGATCAGCTGTGTCCGTAGGACACAGCGATCACGGAGATCGCCGCGTGCGCGCCCCCCTGGGGCGCGCAGGAGAGCGCGTTCTGGGAGGACGTCATATGACGTCCACTCAGAACTGGCCGGCCGCGGTGAAGCCGTCATTCGGCTATGGCTATGCGCGGTCGGCAAGAGGTTAAAGAGCTACATCATAGGGCAACGTCAGTGGTATTTTTACAGGAGACACATTTTGAGATAGAGGCAAATGTGAAATTAAAATCTAAATATTATCCAACATGGTATTATGCTGACTCTCCAATTAAAAGAGCAAAAGGGGTTGCAATAGGATTGGCAAAGAATATGAGATTTGAGTTGGAGGATAGAAAGACCGATCCGGAGGGGAGATTCTTGTTCTTGAAAAGGTAAACTACAGGGAATTGAGTGTACAATAGCCAATATATATTGCCCCAATAAGAAGCGGAGATGTATATGAAGGGCCTGCTGAAAAAATTGATGGATTTTAAAAAGGGGCGTTTGATAGTGGCAGGAGATTTAAATTGCTGTATGGACCCACAAAGGGATGCAACCTCTTCTGTGCAGAGAGAGGGTGGTAGGTCTCTGAGAGCTTTGAAAAAAGCGATCCACGAGTATCAACTAGTGGACACCTGGAGAATAATGCATATGAATGACAGAGACTATACCTTCTTCTCTAATGCACATGAGATATATTCGAGACTAGATTATATCTTAATAGATCATCAACTCATTGAACTGTTGGTTAAAATAGAAATAGAGACAAGAACGTTTTCGGATCAAGCTCCTGTCGTAATGAAAATGGGATGGGGAAGACGGTGGACGGGAGGTTTAGGTTGGAGGTTAAATGAGGCTCTTCTTCTGGATGAGGAAATAGCTCAGAAGATCGGGGAAGAGATTAAGGTATAATTTAAGGAGAATGAAACAGAGGAAGTATCGATAGCTACAGAATGGGAGAGCCACAAGGTATATATAAAGAGGAATCTTGATTTTCGGCAGGAGCAAGGAAGAAAAAAGAAAGAAGAGAGAGGGTTAGTGGGCTTCTAAAAGAAATATTGGACTTGGAGCAGATACATAAGAAGAAAAAATAACAAAAGAAACAAGTCAGAAGTTAATGGATAAAAAAGATGAGTTAGAGATGTTGATGGAAGAGGAGAGGAGAAGATGTCAGGAATGGACTGGCCAGCAATGGTGGGACTCACCTGCCTTATAAGCTGCAGTACCAGGGCTGGCCAGCGGGTGCTCCCAGCAATCAGAGACTCAACCTTGCAGCCAGTCAAACACCTGGAACTGATTATACTGGTGTATTTAAGGGATGGCCAGACCTGCAGACTCTGCCTTGGTGTGTGTTTCTCCCTGGGCCCTGTATCCTGTTCCTGCTCCCTGTTCCTGTTCCTGTCTGATTCGTTGCTGACCCTGCTCTGATCCCTGGCTTTGTCTGACCATTCTCCTGCTCCTGATCCCTGGCTTGTCTGACCATTCTCCTCTGCCTGACCCTCTGTACCACGCTGCCCGCTACCTGCTGAACCTGGCTTGTGACCCCGACCATTCTCCGCTTGCTCCCCCTGTACCTACCTGCCCGATTGATATTGACCCGGCCTGCCTGACGACGCTTGCATTGTATGTACTGTCATCTGTGGGTGGTTGGTTTGGTTTGTTTGCACTGTGTTATGTCTTAGTATTGCACTGCGTTTATGTTTGTATTGTTAGTGTTAATAAATTATATTGTTTATAACATATCTGAAGTCTGCATTTCCCTGCGTCAGTCACATACCTCTGGTCATACCCGGGAGCCCTGACATTACACCAAGGCCAATCCTGACTAGAAGTGGCTGCACAGGGAAGTCATCTTGGTTTGTTGATGGGAAGGATGGATCTTGATGAGGTTGTGTATTTATATCTGCTAGTGTTTGATGACAGAGAGTATGCTTATCAAACTCTGAAGGAGTATCCCCCGGGATGAACTGCTAGAATGTATACGGCTCGCTCATGTTCTAGTAGATCACGGCACAGAATTCTCTGAGGTGCAGCCATTGATTCAGATTTGTGCGGAGTTGGTTTCATCTGGTACCCCCGAATGCAGGGATGAATTTTTGCCGCCATTCAGTGCCGACCAGGTAGAGTCCCTGGTATGGTTATTAGAGGATGATGTGGATTGCTTCTTGGAGCATTATGCTGCATGTTCACCACAGATACTAAGAGATTGTATAAACGCAGTGCAGTCTTTGGTCAGACAGGCTTTGTGTAAGCTCAGCTTTGTTCAACCCATACTGCAGACATGGACAGATTTGTTGCACCCAGCCTCAGTCAGCTTACAAAAACCCAGTCCTGCTTCTAATCTATTTCCTCAAAGCTCTATTCCTGCATTCCCAACAGCTCCTCCTGCCCTGCTATCTACCGCATGTCAGTACCCTGTGTCCCACTCGCTGCACCTATCCTGCCTTTAACCTTGTAAAAAAAGCCCTCTGTAGCAACTGCTCCCTCCTCTGTTCCATCCTCCAGCTCTTCTCTGTCTCCAGCTGCTCCATTCGTTTGCAGACCTGCGTTCACTTGCAGTGCTCCAGTAGTTAAAACCAGAAAAAAGCGAAAATTCTTTCCAACCAATACCATCCTGCCAGTATCCAAACCGGTGAGCCTGCCGCCTGAGAACCTGCCTTCCGTGGTTCAGCCTGGTGCCTCGGCACCCGCACTTCAGCCTGAGGTCTGTACCCAGCCTGATGCCTGTACCCAGCCTGATGCCTCTCCTCAGCCTGATGCCTCTCCTCAGCCTGATGCCTCTCCTCAGCCTGATGCCTCTCCTCAGCCTGATGCCTCCACTCAGCCTGATGCCTCCACTCAGCCTGATGCCTCTACCCAGCATGATGAACTGATCCAGCCTGATGATCCTATTAGGCCAGTTGACTCGATGCCCGCTGTTGATCCAGATGATCCGGTACCTGATCCGGTGCCCGCTGTCGTGCCAATTGACTCAGAGCCCGCTGTCGTACCTGGTGACTCGGTGCCCACTGCCTTGCCAGATGACGCGGTGCCCGCTGGCGAGCCAAATGACCTGATGCCTGGTGACCCAGTGCCCGCTGTCATACCTGGTGACCCGATGCCCGCTGTCGAGCCAGACGATCCAATGCCTGGTGACCCGGTGCCCACTGCCTTGCCAGATGACGCGGTGCCCGCTGGCAAGCCAAATGACCTGATGCCTGGTGACCCAGTGCCCGCTGTCATACCTGGTGACCCGATGCCGCTGTCGAGCCAGACAATCCGGTACCTGATGACCCGGTGCCCGCTGTCGTGCCAATTGACTCAGAGCCCACTGTCGTGCCTGGTGACTTGGTGCCCACTGTCTTGCCAGATGACGCGGTGCCCGCTGTTGAGCCAAATGACCTGATGCCTGGTGACCCGATGCTCGCTGTCCAGCCAGACGATCCAATGTCTGACCCAGTGCCCGCGGTCATACCAGTTGACTCGGAGCCCACTGCCTTGCCAGATGACGCGGTGCCCGCTGTTGAGCCAAATGACCTGATGCCTGGTGACCTGATGCTCGCTGTCCAGCCAGACGATCCAATGTCTGACCCAGTGCCAGCGGTCATGCCAGTTGACTCGGAGCCCACTGTCGTGCCTGGTGACTCGGTGCCCGCCGCTCCGCCTGGGGTCCGGCGCCCGCCGCTCCGCCTGGGGGTCTGAGACCTGTTGCTCCGCCTGGGGGCCTGAGACCTGTCGCTTTACCTGGGGGCCTGAGACCTGTCGTTCCGCCTGGGGGTCCGGCTCCCGCCGCTCCGCCTGGGGGCCCGAGACCTGTCGCTCCGCCTGGGGTCCGGCGCCCGCCGCTCCGCCTGGGGGCCCGAGACCTGTCGCTCCGCGCCTGGGGGTCCGGCGCCTGCCGCTCCGCCTGGGGGCCCGAGACCTGTCGCCCCTCCTGGGGGCCCAATGCCTGTCGCCCCTCCTGGGGGCCCGATGCCTGCTGCTTCGCCTGGTAATCCGATGTGCCTCTGCCCGGAGTCCAGCCCGATGTGCCTCTTTCGGAGTCCAGCCCGATGTGCTTCTGCCCGGAGTCCAGCCCGATGTGCCTCTGCCCAGAGTCCAGCCCGATGTGCCTCTGCCCAGAGTCCAGCCCGATGTGCCTCTGCCCAGAGTCCAGCCCGATGTGCCTCTGCCCAGAGTCCAGCCCGATGTGCCTCTGCCCAGAGTCCAGCCCGATGTGCCTCTGCCCAGAGTCCAGCCCGATGTGCCTCTGCCCAGAGTCCAGCCCGATGTGCCTCTGCCCAGAGTCCAGCCCGATGTGCCTCTGCCCAGAGTCCAGCCCGATGTGCCTCTGCCCAGAGTCCAGCCCGATGTGCCTCTGCCCAGAGTCCAGCCCGATGTGCCTCTGCCCAGAGTCCAGCCCGATGTGCCTCTGCCCAGAGTCCAGCCCGATGTGCCTCTGCCCAGAGTCCAGCCCGATGTGCCTCTGCCCGGAGTCCAGCCCGATGTGCCTCTGCCCGGAGTCCAGCCCGATGTGCCTCTGCCCGGAGTCCAGCCCGATGTGCCTCTGCCCGGAGTCCAGCCCGATGTGCCTCTGCCCGGTGTGCCTCTGCCCGATGTGCCCCTGCCCAGTGCCCCTGCCCAGTGCCCCTGCCCAGTGTGCCCCTGCCCGTGTGCCCCTGCCCAGAGTCCTGCCCGGTGTGCCGCTGCCCGGAGTCCTGCCCGGTGTGCCAGTCTTTGATATCCCGCCAGTGACCAGACCCGGGCGGTGGAACATTTTGCCCAGCTAGGACTGTTTGGAGCGTCCTGAGGCCGCTCCTTGAGGGGGGGTACTGTCAGGAATGGACTGGCCAGCAATGGTGGGACTCACCTGCCTTATAAGCTGCAGTACCAGGGCTGGCCAGCGGGTGCTCCCAGCAATCAGAGACTCAACCTTGCAGCCAGTCAAACACCTGGAACTGATTATACTGGTGTATTTAAGGGATGGCCAGACCTGCAGACTCTGCCTTGGTGTGTGTTTCTCCTGGGCCCTGTATCCTGTTCCTGCTCCCTGTTCCTGTTCCTGTCTGATTCGTTGCTGACCCTGCTCTGATCCCTGGCTTTGTCTGACCATTCTCCTGCTCCTGATCCCTGGCTTGTCTGACCATTCTCCTCTGCCTGACCCTCTGTACCACTTTGCCCGCTACCTGCTGAACCTGGCTTGTGACCCCGACCATTCTCCGCTTGCTCCCCCTGTACCTACCTGCCCGATTGATATTGACCCGGCCTGCCTGACGACGCTTGCATTGTATGTACTGTCATCTGTGGGTGGTTGGTTTGGTTTGTTTGCACTGTGTTATGTTTTAGTATTGCACTGCGTTTATGTTTGTATTGTTAGTGTTAATAAAATTATATTGTTTAACATATCTGAAGTCTGCGTTTCCCTGCGTCAGTCACATACCTCTGGTCATACCCGGGAGCCCTGACAGAAGAGTATACAACAAAGTCTTAAGTGAGAGATATAGATGGGGAGACAGACCGGGAAATACTTAATGAGAGCTCTGAATAAAAAGAAAAATAGGAATTACATAGAAAAGATAAAAAGTCCTAAGGGGGAGCTGGTCCACTCAACTAAAGAGATTATTAGAGTGTTCACGGAGTATTATAGAAAGTTGTATAATATTAGTCCTCAAGGTTCCCTAAAAGAAATTCGAGAGGGTATCAAGGAAAAAAAGATGATATATTTAAAAAATGCGGGATTACCAAAACTAAGTGAAGCACAGTTGAACTCCTTGGACGTGGAAATTTCTCAGGAAGAAATTAAAGCAGCTTTAAGAAGTACAGGGGGTGGAAAAAGCCCAGGACCGGATGGTTACACACTTAAGTACTATAAAAAATATAGTGTGAATTACTGTTACCCAAGCTAAAGAAGTATATGAACGCTCTGGGAGGTGGGATGGAGGTGAGGAGGGAATCCTTACAGGCCCATGTAGTACTTATTTCACAAGGAGGGAAAAGACCCTTCTCAGTGCTCCAGCTATAGACCAATTTCATTACTAAACACTGATACCAAGCTGTATGCAAAGATTCTAGCAAATAGGTTGAAAGACCTAATGTCTGAATGGATCCATGGAGACCAGGTGGGCTTTGTACCAGGGTGAGAGGGTAGAGATAACGGCTTGAGAACCCTGATGCTTATTCAGAAAAGTAGAAAAGGGAAAGCCCCAGTGGTACTCTTGTCAATTGATGCTGAGAAGGCATTTGATAGAGTGGACTGGGGCTTTATGATGGATAACTTAGAAGTGCTGGGGATAGGAGAGAGAATGCGTGAATGGATAGGTAAATTATATAGGGAGCCCACCGCAATCATTACAGTAAATGGGGAGAGGTCAGATCCCATTGGGATGTCTAATGGAACAAAACAGGGCTGCCCATTGTCCCCTTTATTGTATGTTTTGTCATTGGAACCCCTGTTGTCAATAATAAGGAATAGTGGAGCGGTAAAGGGAATTCTGACAGAAACTATAGAACATAAAGTAGCGGCCTTTGCGGGCGACCTATTGTTCTTTGTGGGGAACCCCCGAATAACACTCCCAAATATAATGAAGATCCTGAAGGAGTATGGTGAATTATCAAACCTAAAAACTAATCCAACAAAAACAGAGATTCTGAACATTAATATACCAAAGAGTGAAAAAGAAAAGTTACAAAAAGAATTCTTCTTTATATGGAGAGAAACAGATATAAAATACCTAGAATAAAACTTACTGTCTCATCTAAGCATTTATATAGATTAAACTATATTTCTTTGATAAACGAGATTAGGGAAGAATTAAAAACATTAGAAGGAGGAAATCCATCATGGATAGGACGTATAAACCTAGATAAAATGGTAATTAATTATACCTAAAATATTGTATAGATTTCAAATGGTACCAATTAAAATCCCAGAGGCTTTCTTTAAGATAATAAAAAAAAATGTTAATTAGATATATATGGAGGAATAAAAAAACCAAGAATATCATATGAAACATTAAGTAGGATTAAAGCGAAAAGGGGAATGGGATTGCCAGATGTCAAGAGATACTATAAAGCAGTCGTTTTAGCAAGAATTTATGATTGGACATTTAACCATAAGGGAAAAGTTGGGTAAAAATTGAAAACGATCTAAGTGGAATTAGTTTGAGTAAGATGATATGGGTTCCAGCACAGTTTAGAGGAATTAAGGAAAGCACAAGTATTTACACTTTAAATGTTTTAAAGGTATGGGATAATTTACACAAAAACATGAAATGGGAATTCAATTCTATATTAATGCCTCTTACAAACACTGAGTACTTTCCCCCAGGAAAGGATGAGATATCAGGGAGATGGTTTAAAAAGGAAGATATCCAATTGAGAGATGTTCTGGTTGAGGGGGAACTGAGACCATTTAAAGAATTAAAAGAGAAGAAGGGAGATATTTTTACTAGAATAGATGAGTAGAAATATCATCAATTAAAATGTTTCATTGGAAATCTCCCGAAACCCCTGAGATTAAAAGAAGAGTGGAATATGTTTGAAAGGCTGTTAGAAACACGAAGGGATGGGAAGCACGGTATTGCGAAAATTTATAGAATACTCACAGAATTAGACACAAACACAAAGTTAACTTTTATAACAAAATGGGAAAGTGATATGGAAGTAGTGTTAGATGAGGATAAACAGAAAAAGATATTTAGATTGATACACGAGAATGTTAGTATGAGAGAGGTTGAGACTAATATAAGTGTTTGACACGATGGCACATTACACCAAGTATTGAGCACAAGATGAGTGGGGAAAATTCAAAAATGTGTTGGAGAGGATGTGGAGAGATAGGCACGGTGTTTCACATATGGTGGGAATATCCAATCCGAAAATCCAAGCTTTTTGGAAGACAATAGTTAAATTGATTGAAATAATAACTGGAAATGACATAGGGTTAGACCCAACGATGTGCCTCCTACACAATGTTGAGACATCAGTAAATAAATATAAAGAATCAGGTATATGGTACTACTTAAATGCGGCAAAAGGTTTGATACCCAAGTTTTGGCAGAAAACAGAGGTGCCGAAGGAGGAAGACTGGATTAATAGAGTAAACCAGATTAGTAGAATGGAAAAATCTTACCATTTGCAGGAAGACAGGATGGGAGTATATTATATGAGGTGGGAAAAATGGGAAAAATCAGGATTGAAAGAGAAATATAGAAAACTATAAACTAGGACGTTACCTAAAGTCAGTAGGCCTCTAGAGATTAGAGTGGAGGAGAGCTTGCAGAGGGGGGAGGGGGGGTGGGAATGGGTTGGGAGGGTTGGGAAAGAAAAGAGTTTTTAGAAGGGGAAAGGTAGAAATGTTATGAATATATATTTATATGTGATGTGTCTCCCTATATGGATATTTGTAATAGCATGAAAAATTAATAAATATTTAAATTTAAAAAAAAAAAAATAATAATAGTCTCAGAGACCCTCTCCCTTCTCGCTGCACAGAAGAAGTTGTATCTTTTTGTGGGTCCATACAAAAGTTAAAATCCCCAGCAAACAACCCTTTTTAAAATCCATTAATTTTTTTTAGCACTCCTTTCAAGTATATCTCCGGCTTCTTATTTGGACAATATATGTTAGCTACTGTACACTCCACCTCCTGCAATTTACCCTTAAAAAACAGATATCTCCCTTCTGGGTCCACTTTTCTATCCTCCAACTGAAACCTTATATTTTTGCGAACCCT